ATACCGCTGTGCAAGTAATTTGTTGGCTTGAGACTTTTTCAAGAACAAAAATAATCCTGGAGCTTATCTATTTATCTGAGGGAGGCCTCATGGTTAGTGCTTTCGTCTGCAGATCGAGTAGTCCTGGCCGGGGACATTGTGCTGTGTTCTTGGGCAAGACACTTTACTCTCACAGTGCCTCTCTCTACCCAGGTGTTTAAATGGGTTCCGGAGAACTTAATGCTGGGAGTAACCCTGCGAGGGACTAGCATCCCATCCAGGGGGGAGTAGAAATACTCTTAGTCACTTCATGCTACAGAAACCGGGATAAGCTCCGGCATGATGGGCCCCTTGGCTCGTGTGCAGACTTTTCCTTTATTTATTTACCTTGTCTCGTATACGCGACGTGTTTACAACTCGTCGTTGGGTTTGATTATAAGTACGTGACAAACTAAAATGATGTCTAAGTTGGCAACTGATCCTTACAGTACATGATTCAAGGGGTGTGGGGTAGGGAAAGAAATGGAACCAGTGAAACAGAAAGCTATGAATGAAATTATGAGTTCAAATCTAAGAAATTACCCAACTTTGAACTTCGTATCCCCTTCCGCCCTTCAGAAACTCGTAATACATGTGGGAAATATCACGAGAATTCCGATCATTATTTGAAACAAAAACACAAAAATAAAAGACAGGTCCCAAAAGATACTTAAGTCCCCAATTTTAACTGCATACAAAAATCCTTTCACCCTCCCCCTCTCCACTTTACTTTTATACCCAAATAACCCCTTCTCCCCTATCGCTGGACTTTATAGTAAGATTGTATGTACGTGGCTAGGCAGGAAGTTTGAAATTCGGCGGTGGAAAGTTTGGTAACTTTCAAATCGCTCGTCTGTTAATGGTACGAAAAAAAAATTACATCCAAAATTAATATTAATTGTTTATCGAGAAAACCTTCAGCGTGGAAAACTAAGCTTATTAATAGATTGAAATTCCGAGCGTTGCTGGTCGAGGCATTCGATAAGACCGTCACACGGCAATTTCTTTGATATGAAAATGTATTTCTTTGGGGTGTTAAATTAGGTTTGTTTTGTATTATTTTCCACTGGAATAATCAGAGCTTTGTAAACCACTCCTTGTGAATATCACACCATTAGATGCCGACCAATCTACTCGAGGTCATTTTTCCTTATCATAATTATTATTGTAAAAAAAAAAAACTTTTAGGTATATTCTCTTGCTGGTATCCCGTACTTTGATTCAGTATGTGTCAGTTTCTCAGTGTGAACAAACTCGATTGCTCTCGGCTCCATCCGCCATGTTTTGTTTTTACTTGTCCTCTTTACTTAAAATAGAACTGTTTTCTATTCGGCTGGGCGAAGGGAAGAGAATACATTTAGAATACCACCTGAAGACTTTCTATTTAAAATGATTTTGAATAGGAAGTCTTCAAGTTGTAATCTTGAAGTCGTGAGGTGCTAGGAAGATAAACTGGACTTGACCGCATTTGAAAAAAGAAAAGAACATCTGGAGATAGCAATATTACACTTCATTTTTGAGAAACGACTACTTTTCTTCTGCAAAAATAACTGAAAATTAGTTGTTGTCAGATTTTTTGTTCGAGAACACCAATTTGTCCTCTTTGAAAAGGCACTATAAGTCATCATTGTGAAGAAAGCGCGCACAACAAAGACACTTGATAGAATAGAAATAGTGCAAACAAACATTTATCATCTTGAAAAATGATCGGGCGTAAAATGAAAAAAACATTGTCCACTTGGCTATTATCCATATCACGTCCATGTCTTTGCCTTCCTGTTCCCTCTCGAGAAATGCTTCCGCTGTTGAACATAACGAGTAAGCAATTTTGAAATGGATTGTTCAATTTCTACTTCCTGCGCTTGTGTTAAGAATTGAGTAATAAAGTTAACCAGAAGCTGTGGTATTCTTCTTCAGAATAAAGTTAAAAATGAAATACCAGTTTCCTCGTAGAATGGGTGATCTTGCTTTGTTTTAAAGTCTTCGATTACTTACACTCTGATATTTGTCTGGGGTCGTACTTCAATTTAGAAAAGCAGCCTTCGGAAAGATTTCAATTTGTTGCTAGATTGTGAACCCACTTGAGGCCAATTTGCATTAAATATCAGCTTATATCTGCCCTTCTCGATGGGCCGTGTTTCAAATTTGCGGCAGACTAATTCATCACGCGCATATTTTCACTTGTGCATCAATATATCTTAGCGCGAGATCTCTCTGAATATTCCTGTATAAATAAATAACGAATAAAAGTTTACAGGGAGAGATAAAATTGATTGCACACTTAACCGCTTTGAATTTTGAGACGTCGGTGTCTCTGCCGCAGAGAGACAGTTTGTTTGCCTTCATTTGTATGCGTCTCGTACCTCTCAAACACAATTTATATCTCACGGAAATTAAATTTCCCGAGTTACAATAAGGTAAGTTGTAATTTCTGCTCTAGTTCGCAAAGAAATGGAATTGCTTTAATGAATAAACAAGCCTTGAGCGCAGAGCTGCTCTCAATTGGTTAAAGCCCTAATTCGGCTTAAAACGCTCCGTCGCAAATTCGACACCCGCAAAACTTATAAAGTACAATTTTCAAGAACGCCAATTACAGAGATTGTAAAATTAATTTTAATAATTCATACACAAGGGTTGAAAGTGAAGGTAAGGCGAACAAATTAGCTAATTCTTAATTCAAGCAGTTGCGGCCTGTGTAAAGAAGCAGATCTGACGCAGCTCGACGTTCTTTTTCAAAACGGCACGCGAAGGGAAAGAAGGAAAAAGAAATTCGTAAGTAGTTTTTGTTGTCGCTCTCTGATAAAGAAACGTATTTCACAACATACTATTTATTCTTCAGTATTATTAAAGAAATGAGCGAGAGGTTTTATTGAACAAAGTGAACCCCAAAACGGAAACGCTGTGTCAGGATTTAGACCAAAACAAAAAGCGAAGGAAGGCTGAACATACCAAGCTATCTATTTGAATTCCCGTGTCAGGCTCATCTTGTCAAAGAAGCAGGAAAATTGCTAAGGTAACACCGTTTATATCTAAAGAGATTTAAATAGTATTTATGCTCACATTCGCTTTGTCGTGAGAAAAATTAGTACACAGTTTTAACAAAATGCATTATTGTCGACGCAAAACTCGATCCAGTTTCACTATCTAAACTAACTAAACGGAAGATAACAGACAGACACAAACCTTTATCTAAAACGAAAAGATCGCTAAGATTTTTCATCTGGGACTTTCATCTGGGAGTCCTCTTATTATATAAATTTTAATTTAGTCAAATTCAGTCCGAGTACAAGAGAAACAAAAAAACAGCATTGAGATGGTAGAACATATAACCGTCTGGTTGCCTTTTTAACAGTAAGCTATAGTTGATTCGTTCTTCCCGTGCGCACATGACATGTTATCAAGGCAATTATGGTATCTTTCCGCCAAAGCTTCGCTTAACCGTCTGTCTTGCTTCCATTATTGACTGCAGTTTATCTTAACAGTCCACAAGGAGACACTAACTTAATACGCAGTATTTCAAGTTGTTAATTTGTTGGAAGAAAAAAGGTTGATCATTAAAGAAAAGGGCGCCCAAAGCCTCGCTACCAAAAGCGAATGCCAAGGGCAAATAATTCTCTGATATGGAGCTGTGCGAGTCATCGAGAATCCGCTAGTGGTTAAGCTCTGAAAATTTTAATGGTGTCGTTTTCGGACGGTCAAACAAAACCATTTAGAGGCTTTATAGATAATAAAACACATTTTAGCCAATTCATTTTGAAACTCTTGTATTGCTGTCCCTAATCAACGATCTCGTATTTTACTTGATCATTAATATTTAAAAGAGTGCAGGTTGGCAGAGTCCCCCCAAAAAAGCAAAAATAAAAAGCGTAAAAAAAGCATATATTCAATCAAACACCTCGACCATGAAAGATACAGGCCGCTTTTCAGATCCTAAGCTCTTTACATTTAGTATTTTAACTTGACAGGCAGCTGTATCCTTATGGCTTTTTCTCAACACTCAGCTATTCAAAGCACAATATCAATGTGTGTGGTTTTTTTTTTCTCCAATGAAAGGACTGCCTTTAGAAAAAAACAATTCAAAGACCAAAATGGCGTTGATATGAATTTCGAGACTACCAAAGGCTGCGTTTTTCTTTTCGTGCACTGATAATTACGGAAAGGTTAAAAACTGTTTAACAAGAACTTAAGTCTTCAATAAAAGTATTTAAAGAAACTAATGCTCGTGTTAATGGCATACAACAAACCAATCCGAGAAGCCTCGTGCTAATTGCCTTAACCGTGTCGGTTATGAAAATGTTTTAAACCTCTTATGCCAGCGAGGTGAAATCGTCATTTTCACTGCACAAGGCTTGATATTAGCTCGTGAAAGTGGGAGTTGAAAAAAATAAATTTCTATTGCCGCAATTTTGGCTTGCGTGCAAACGTGTACTGCTTCCTTTGTTTTGACATCTGCACGTAGGCTGCGCGAATTTATGCCAAGGTTAATGTTCACTGGAAACGCGATTACAATTAGCCTCGTTAAAAATGATATGAAGCAATCTGAACTTATGGATTGAATAAAGGCAAGATTGTGACAAAATTGAAGCGTGATAGTGCGAGCGGAACTCTTTCAGCGATTATCCTTTAGGGAGTGGGCACTATTCTCGTCTTCCATTTGCGAACGTCAATCGAGTGAAAATTAGTTCAGACAGTTGGAAAGTAGATGACAACGATGTGCTTTGTGTTTCGTTTGGGGCAAATAACAACATTACAGAGGTTTAAAATCATTTAGAGACCACCCGAGAAAAATTTGCACAACCAAGAAAAATAATAAAATTTCAAAACTCGCATGGGATATAATTATCGTTAAGACTTTAATAACTGGTTCCCCCCTGGGTTGGTTTCCCTGCTTGGTCAAACCACTAAATAGCTTTGCATTGAGGGTGGCCATTGTCAGACAATTACAAAGAATCGTTGCAGATTAATTCATTAGATGATTCGCTCTAGGCGGTCGGTACACAATAATTCACTTTCCGAAATTATTTAAAATCGAAATTCAAAGATGAAACGAAGTTTTCTAAAAGAGCCACATCTTTTTTTTCGAAACGATTTCGAACTCTTTCCAAATCTATTCGTTGCTGAGGTCTGAATTTTCGCGCCGAAGGAACAACCAACCAAGAACCATACACTGAACCCTGTACCGCTGTGTGATCAGCACAATTTTTAGTCGAATTTCAAAGGTCGTTTTAGAGCGAGAAGTAACTACAGTATGTACACGCGAAGAATGAGATCTGCTCCAGACTGTCACAGTGATGCCCGGGTGGGGGGAAGGTACTTCCGTAAATTTCGAGTAGGTATGTGCCGCGAAGAGTCTTAAACCCTGACCCTGCATAAAGATGAATAAAATTACAATTGATACCCTATTTAATTGAGGCCCAAACCCGAAAAGTGTCACTCTATTCAAGGGAAAAACAAAACTAAGAATAGCGTGAACGGTTCAGTTTTACTTCGTTTCTGTATCATTGGAAGTATACGAATATTAATAATTGAATTTTAACAGATCATTTGTTTTTTGTTTAGCTGGGTATTTGCGCACTGTAATGTTAGCTGATATGATTTAGGTACCCTATCTAAGGATCACACCGAAAACACAGTGCCAACAGGGGCAAAAATGATACCCTATCAGGAGCCCATCACTAAGAGCTTGCAACTCCCATACTAAGCCTATGTCATGGCATTATTAGAGACCGGTCTATTTTTAGGCTTTTTTTCCCGCGAAATAGATCAGTTCCGGTCTACATGAGCGCGCATCGGTAACTTGTTTATCTTTTGGATCTCCCGGTGGAATGATGAGTTCAGTTAAAAGTTAGGTCCGTGCTTGTGATTGGTCACTGAGCTTCCTGCTGGGGTCGGAATTCGGGGTAAGTTCAAACTAAAAATAGATCGGTCTGTGAAAACGTCGTGACAGGAGTATTGGGTAGTTGCACGCTCCTAGTGATGGGCTCCTGAGTCCTGACCCTATTTAAGGATCGAAAACTTTAATATCCCTACCCTATCCTTCGGCACATACCGAACATATATATGGGAAAATCCCCCCACCCCACCCTCAGAGTGGTGTAGCTACTAAACCATTCAATGTTTTAAGTGATTTCGAAATTGGTCATTCGCAGTTTGTACAGGAATTGTCCACGCTTTCGTTTCAATTTTATTAAGTTTGATAGCGCTGAACAAAAAGCAAGAGAACACGACACTGATAGGATAAGAGGTGGCATTATTTTAAAAAAAAAAAAACATGAAACAGTGGTCACAGTGCAATCGGGTGAAGAAATTTAAGTTTTCGAAATAACTTCGTGCTCGAACGCCCTGGAAACAAGTCATATTAAGTGAAACTCTTGTCGCGATATCCCGAGGTGTTAAAAGACTTAAAAAGCGCATGCGTTCCCTATTGCAGTAGACTACGAGTAGTCCCTCTTTCGCTCGGTCCGTTGTGGGTGACGCAAACGGAAACCGCGAGAAATAGCCGTGCGAACTCCTGGGGGCGAGAAGCGAGAAAGTGGATTGTACGCGGCCATTTTTTTCCACGCGGTTTATTTACGGTCTTGCTCGACGAACTAAGCGAAAGAGGGACTTCTCGTAGTCTATAGAGCAGAAACTCATTTCTGGACAAAACCTCCGTTATCTTATATCAGGGTTTGACCAATAACCATTAAGCGGTGTTACGCTCTGAATAAATACTATCAATCTTACAGTCACAAAGGAATATTCCGGGGGGCTGCTCCCAGAAACATTGGGTGGGGGTGTGGGGCCCGCTTCCCAAAACCATTACCCTATTTATGACCAAAATCTGCGATATTCCCCACCCTATTTATGACCTGACCAAAAATTCGAAACCCTATTTATGACCTGACCCATCATAACCCTGTTTCAGACCTGCGTTATAATAAGTTCCCTAGTTCAGACCAATGTTAAATGACCGTAAAAATAATTTGTGAAGGACTTTTGTTTATTTTCTTTTCGATAATGACGAAAAAGTGGCTTCTTCTTAAAAACATATCCATATCAAGGCTAGAGTGCAAAAAACCATACCCTATTTATGACCAAAATGGCCAAAATCAGCTAAAATCGATACACTATTTATGACCAAAAGGGTTGAAAAACCCTACCCTTTGGGGCCGCACATACCTATATAGCCCATATAAGGGAGTACCCCCCCCCGCTCCCAGGAATATTGTAGTTTTCATAATTTTATCTCTACTGATGTGTTCCCCTCTCGTCCTCAGTCACGTGATGGCATTAATTCATTTTATTGAGTTAAATTTGGGATTACAAAATGTGTTCATTATATACTACGATTATCTGTTGAGTAAGGCACAACGAAAATTTGGTGACGAAGTTTTAGCTTTAAAATTACGGTGTTGTCACGGGCAACTTTCCTCGTTTCCATTGGTAACAATGTCATCAGCCGTGCGTTGCCTGTCGCGTGGCCTAAAATTTCACGCGTTTTGCCGCTGATGACGTCAAAGGCCGACAAGTCAGTGCCACTGGAAACGGAGCCAGTTGCCCTTGACAACAACACGATTTTCACGTTAAAACTTCGTCGTGCCTCACTCAACAGCTGATAATCGTAGTAACCCCAGGGCTTAATTTGGTTATACCGGGTGTTTTTTATAGTAACATATATCGGCGTTTAAAACTTTGGCCAGACTTACGGATGCCGGATACTTTTTTCATTATATCGGCTTCCACTGTTTCTCAACGACTATCAACCTACAAGCTAATTTACAAGCTTTGAC